AGCCCAAACACCGGTTCCTATCGCAACATATTATGGTTAACGACGCCCTCCCCAACCGCATACTGTCCGGTACTGTCGTTGTTAAGCCAAATATAGACAGGTTTACACCCAATGGGATCATATTTAAGGGTATGTCCAATTATAGTAAAATTTGCAACAGGGTCATCATTTATTTAATAAATAATCAAATTATTTTTTAGGCGAAAGTCAAGAGACTCCCTGCGATGTCGTACTACTGGCCACCGGCTATAAAGTGTCGTTCCCCTTCATATCTCAATCGCTGATACCCACCGACAAGAATCAGGTGGAGCTCTATAAGTACATGTTCTCACCCAAGTTGGCCCACCCAAAGACACTGGCCTTCATATCGCTGGCCCAACCCGTGGGCGCACTGTTACCCATCGGGGAGATGGAGTCGCGTTGGTTCGCCCAACTCATGGCCAATAAGCTATCCCTACCGGACAGACAGACCATGTATGAGGACATCGAGAGTAAGCGGATATTCATGAAACGCTTCTACGAGAGCGATAGGCATACCATTCAAGTGGATTGGCTCGACTTCATGGACGAGTTGGCCGCACAGGTAGGCGTCAAACCGCCGCTATTCAAGTATTTCTTCACCGACCCGGAGCTGTGGCGGGCACTGGCCTTTGGACCCTCCCTTCCCTACCAGTATAGACTCGAAGGTATTATTTACGCTAAAGTTATTTGTTTTGCATTTGTATTAATGGTGGTGCTTGTGATGTAGGTCCCCATTCGTGGTCGGGCGCCAGGGATGCCATACTGACGGTTGAGAACCGCATAAAATCGCCGCTTAAGACGAGATTACCGGACAGTCGTAAACGCCGGGGCACTAAAAGTTTGCTGAATATCACCCGATTCGTGGGACTTATACTATTCATGATTTTCGCCTACCTACTTAACCTAATCCTATGAAATACTCGGAAAATATTTTTTACTATTTTTATATTTAGATGTTACGATAATTTTAATATAAATTTTATTGTATTAGTTACTATTTTTATATATTTTATTTTAATAAACCCTTTTTTAAGTAAACTCTACTTATAAAAACTATATACACACCTAATAACTTACAAACCAGTGATTTAAATATAAATTACCCACACGTATTAATTGGTTTTACACCACCTTAGTACAATAAAACTCAAAAAATATACGGGTCTGGACAGGTTGACCAGGCTGACCACCAGTGCCTATTCCCGGGCGCGATCCCACCACTGCTCAACGCGGGAACTTTTGCCTGCTGCGTCTCCGCCCTGGGCCTATACGCTC